TTGGGCCGCGGTCAACTTCTCGTACTGATGGGGTACGAGAGATACATCCTTCACCTTCATGTCGCAGTCGGGGGAAATGTGGTCCCCGACCCGATAACAGGTGAAGCAGATGATCTGCGGGGACGGAGGTCCCCGCAGATCCTCTTGGTTATTACGGGACGTTTTCCCGGGTGGAAGTCCGCGAAAGCCCTCGGCGGGCTCTCGAGCGGGTTGATACGGCTTGCGCCGGTCGCCGTAAAACAGCGAGTCTCCGTCGTTGAAGGAGGATTCTTCCGTCGGGAGGGAAGGAGCCCCCCCGGCGAGGTCACCATCGGTAGCGAAGTAGTTCTCGGCTCCCCGGGCCGTTTGAAAACTGGGAGAGGGGCCGGTCGACGACGACGGGGCGCCATCCAGGGCAGCGAGAACCTGTTTAACCGGGCGAGGCTTCCCGAATTCCACGCGGCGCCCCGCCCCGTGCTGGGCCCGGAAAGCATCGCCGTGCGAGCGCGCGAGGGCGATGGTATCCTCGAACGAGGATCGCGGTCGATCCTCGCGAGCTTGTAACACCAGCGGCTTGATCGCGGGGGTGAGCCCCTCGATGAAGAGGGTCGTCCTCTCGTATGCCGAGTGCACGTCCCCGCACCTCCCCAGGGCGGTGGACATTCGAGTAGCGTACTCGGTTTCCAGTTCGCCCGGCTTCTGGCGTAGCTCACTCAATGCCGTGAGGGCCCGCTCGATCTCGAGGTTCGTCGCATAGGTGCGCAACAGCCAATTGACGGCGGCGGCCCAGCTCGCGATCCCCTGAGATTTGCGGTACAGTCCCCGCTGGGACTCATACGCTTCCTTCGCTGGCGGAGCCAGCAGATGGGGTAGGGCCATCAGGGCCATCGCCTCGGTCATATTGGCGTTATCAAAATTTTCCTTGCAGCGAGCCAGGAAGCTGATAACCCTGATAGGATCTACCCCGCTGAATTTGTACTCCCCCATGACCACGAGGAGGTACTGCACCCTCTTACGGGTGGTAGCGTAGACCCGGTCGTCCAGGGTGGGGTCGGTATCCACGAGGCGGTAGGCTCGGTAGTTGCACACACCTCTGAACCGGTGGTTCGTCGGCTTCCAGACAGAAACCTTTTTCTGTTTGGGGCCGAGCGTCGGCATTGGGGCCGTAAGGGACTCTGACTCGGAATCGGTCTCCGAGTCAGAGGAGGATGACGAGGACGGGCTTGAGTACCCGTCCGGAGGGTATCCATCCTTTCGTCCTTTGCGACGGTTCGCCTTCCGCTCTTTCCGACTGGGTTTGGACTTTTTTCGTCGTCCACTCCCCTCGTCGTCTGAGCTTCCCCCTTGATCGGGGTCCTCTCCCCGTAAATTCTGGGAGGGCAAATCACCTTCAAGGTGGATAGGTCCGGCGGAGGCTCCCTCGCGGGAGGCTCCTGCCGCGGTTCGCGACGCCTGCGGATTGGCGGAGAATTGGGGTGCGGTCTCCATGGAGGGGACCCGTATCCCCGCGGCTTGCAGCGCCGGCGTTGTCACGTTGGAAAAGAGCAGGCTCTTATTCAACGGGGGCAACCCCTCAGCGGGAGGGAGAGTCGCTACTCCGACTGTAGTCGAAGGGATTCCAGCAGCGGAGGCTGATGTTTGCGTCTTCAAGATGGCCATTTCTCGACGGAGGGCCTTGAGTTCCTCCGCCGTGGCGGTCTCCTCTTGCTTACGCAGGATGGCGGCCTCCTTGGCGCTGGCAGCTATGTCCGCCTGCCAGGCCTTGGTGAGCACGCCTTCCAGGGCGGTTAGGCGATCGCGCTCTCGCGCGGCTTGTACCTCGGCTTGGGCCGCGATAGTTTCCTCAATAAAAGTCTTGAGGTTTTCCCGCAGCGCCGACGGTTGCGCTGCGAGCTTCTCCGCTACAGTATTGAGCGTGAATCTTTCCGCTTCTCGGAGCGTCTCGCGACAACTCCGAGTGATCCACGCCGCAACTGGCGGAGGCACGTCTCGAGGACGGGTCTCACGGGACGAATCGGACCCGGATACCATAGCCTTGAGCTTGTCGGAACCTGTTGAAACAGGGATAGAACACCTAGGACCAAAAACGGTAAGGGATAAGGGACACTCCGTAGACTTCTAGGTCGGGAGACCAAAATGTCGTGCACTGAGGGGGAAGGGGTGGGATCCCCCTCTGGCAGAGCGCGCGCGTTCGGGGGCGCGTGTAGGGGGTTATCGGGAGACCACCCGTAAGGGACCGGTACGGGGCCGGGCGCGAAGCGCAGTAGGGAAAGTAAGGGAAAAAGTGGGAAACAGAGCCCAGGAGGGGCGGAACGGTAGGGACAGCTGTCGCGCGGAGAGCCGGGAGTGGCGGGACGACGCGCGCGGTAGAGGCAGGAGAGAATCGGGACGTAGATGGCTCGCAGGGTACCGTCGTGGGACGGGGACCGACGCGAGGCTACGACTCCGTTCCAGAAACCCGAGTTGTGGACCCAAAGCTTCGTACCGTTTTACTAAGGGTCGGACGTCGGCTATATACTAGCTGACGTCGGAGCTATAATTAATTAAACTAAAAATACTAAATTGGACGACGGCGGCGATGGCCGGAGGAACTCCTCTTGGGGAGGTATGACAACCACTACACGTGGGAAATGACACGATTAACGTGAGGGATACACGGTTACACGTGGTATATATCTCACTTATGATAGTGAGGCATTCCGCGTGTGCTACAGTACAGCACCGCGATTGAGCGGGCGGTCAGTGCTCTACATACGTCATCAAAAGGACATGAAACTATTCCCGGCGGCCGGACCCTTGGAGTTTGTCGCAATGGACCTCCTGGGTCCGTTGCCGAAGACCGCACATGGGAATCAGTTCGTCCTTGTGATTACCGACCGGTTCTCTAGGCTCACGCGCAGCATCGCGCTTCGTACGACAACCACAGCCGTGGTGACTAACGCGTTCCTGGAAAACTGGGTGTACGTCTACGGAGCACCACAGTACGTCCTTACCGATAACGGTCCGCAATTTGCGGCAAAGTTCTTCGACGCCGTGTGCGCATTGCTAGGCATACATCACTATTTGACGACAGCCTACCACCCGCAAACTAACGGTCAGACCGAACGGTTTAATAAGACCATCGTGCAGAGGCTCCGACATTATGTCGAGGAGCACCAGCGAGACTGGGACGAGTTCCTCCAGCCTCTGGCGTATGCTTATAACATACAAGTCCACCGGTCAACGGAGACTACTCCGTTTGACCTGGTGTTGACAAGACAACCGTCTGGATTAACCGTCGCGGGTACAGCGCCTCAGGCTGCGGGAGTCGCCCATGACGACCCACGTACTCCCGTACAGTACAAGCGGGCGACTCTTCGCAAGCTACGGGATGTCCTCGACCGTGCGCGGGTAAAGATGACCGCGGCCCAAAAGCGGTATAAGGAGAACTTCGATAAGAAAGTCCGATTCCGACCGGTAATACAGGAGGGCGACCAAGTCTACGTGGATCGCCCTCCCCCAGCCCTCCGAGCGGCTGAACGACGTGGCCGTGACGGACAGGGGCTTGGGACGGACGACATGTCCGTCAAGCTTTTACCGAAGACGGAAGGACCCTTTCGGGTCCGCAAAGCCACGGACACGACCGTTACTGTGGAGCAAGACAGGCTTCCCGTACCAGTCAGTATTGACCGCGTCACGCGGATGCCAAGGGGCCTGGGGGACCGGACCATGCCTACAGAAGGCATAAGTGCCCCTTCCGAACGGATTAACCCTCCCCATGGGGACGGTGCTAATACCCCCGAGGAGTTCGTCGTCGAGCTTCTCGTAGCGCATCGCGACATCCCTACCGGCTTGGAATACAAAGTGAGGTGGTATGGCTACATCCCCGCGGATGATACATTCTAACCCGCGGAGGGCCTACCACAAGCCTTTATCGATCGGTATTGGCGAGCCCACCGAGCTTAGTTCCGCTCGGTGGCGCAAGCTAAGAAGGGGGGTCTCCCGGATACTGTACCGGTTGAGACCACCCGCATGTAGAGCATGCGGGGGGCGGAAGCCGCCTACGGGACCGTCACTACCGCTCGGAACTATACGCACGACGATGGGTTTTGCACCCTCTAAACTACGGCTGGCGGTCGACTTCGTAACCTCCCCGAACTAAGGGCCTGAGTTACAAAATTGGCCAGCCCTCCGGGGAGGTGCCGTGTGTCAAATACTGTATAAGCCGCCTATAAGGCGTGTAATCCGAAACGGTGAAGTCCAGGGACCTCAGGGGGATCGCCTAGGTCACTAGGTGTCCCCCGAGGTCGACCATGGTCGACGATGGGGAAGTACGGCACGCCCGCAGTGCCCAAGATAAATACCGTCTCGGATACTTGCAGCGGCGGCGCAACCCCCGACACGTGGCAAAAATTGCCAAGTGTCATTCCCGCACTGGTGCGGTGGCCTGCGGCAAAAATCCGGGGACCAAATTGTGAGGGGTGACACCGTTCGGTTCGGCAATTACGTCGAAGTTCGGGCTACGTTTGAGCCCCTAGCGGGCTCAATACAAATTGTAGCCCACCGCCGACAACGGCATCGTACTCCCCGCGTCAAGCCGCTTCGGACGGTATAAGGTCCGAAACCCCGGCGAACCAGCCGCCAATTTCGGTCGACTTTGGGCTACGTTTTGACCCCTAGTGGGCTCAATAAAAATCGTAGCCCACTTCCGAGAACGGCATCGTGCTCACCGCGTCAAGTCGGACCCGGGGGTATCCATTCCGAAAACGCGGTCATGGCGAGGTGTCAACCGATTTGGAAACGAGATCAGTTTTTATTGGTTTCTAGTGGTTTTTTACAGTTTCGAAATCAGGGTTGTCGGCGAAATCGCCGGCGGCGCACTCGTACGCCCCCAGCCGCCACGGAAAGGGACCGAGCGAGGCCAGAGGGGTCTCCCCGCAATCACGAGGGTCGAGACCTCCGCGTACTGTACGCGCCGGGGGAAAAAGAGGGGCGTCCGAGTTGGAAAAATGGCCAGCCCTCCGGGGGGGTGCCGTGCAACGGTACGTTGGCACCGCTACCCCGGAGGAGCGCCTGCTTATGGGGAGGCGCTGTAGCTCTCCGGGTGGGGCCTGGGTCTGTACCTGGCGCCCCGCCAAGGCGGGGCGCAACCGAACGGTACCCTCCAGGGACCCCCAAGGGAGCGCCCAGGTCACTGAGCGCCCCCAGGGTCGGCCATGGATGATGGGGGGATGGGGACGAATTGCTGCCAAGCCATGCCGTCCACAAACCCAATGACCGCCACGGAATGGCCGGGGTACAGTACATGTGGTTCACACAGTACTGTACCCGGTGGCCGTAGCCAATTAGGGCGCGCGGCGTATGGGAGGCTGTTCGGAATTCCCCCGATTTGAGGGAACAGCCAATTGGAGCTCTTCAAAAAGGCAAAAAGCCACCCGCCGAACGCAAAAACCAAGCATGTTTTACTAAGAAAAACGCCGGTTTTGAAGCCAGAACGACCCCCAAACGGAAAATCAGGCATATTTTACTGAGAAAAAGGCCGATTTTGCCGAGATGGAAAACGGAGCAGCACCGCTCCGGGGCAGCTTGCACTGCGTCTATTGACCCCTAAAGCGGTTGGTACTCCTACCTCCCGCGCTTGGGCGACTTAACGCGCCACGGTGCTTCGCCGGGCTCCCCGCGATGCTTGCGCCCAACGACCGCTTGACAACCTCGGGTAGGCACACACGAACTGTACCTACGGTCCACCGACGCTCGCGGAAGGCTGGTACCGGGCATGGGGGCCGCGCCGGCCCCGCGATTTCACGGAGGGGCGGCCGCCTCAACACCGAGCCGCGAGGGCTCTCCGGATGAACTGTTTGCCGGAGCCAGCGGGCGGTGAGGGTGAGATCCTGTTGGCCCCCCAAGGTGGACGCAGACAGTACCGAATGGTTGGTTCCCCTCCTCCACGAGGACGAGGAAGCCAAAAGTGGTGATGCACCTACCCCGCGGCCTCGCGGAGGAGCGTCAGCTCCAACCCCAAACCAGGGGGGCCCTGAGGACGAGGAAGCACCGCATTCGCTCAGGGTCCCCGCGGAAGCCGTGGTAGCCGCCTCGGCGCCACGGATGGGTGGAGCCCACCGCGGGGTGGTACTGTCCCGCGAGGGCGGTGGAATCAACGCCTCGATGGCAGGGAGAATGGCACAGCCGTCCCCATAGGAGGCGATCCCTCGCCACCCGTTGTCGGCACGCGTGTCGCTGCAGTTACCCTTCTCACCGACAAGGCCGCCTTCGCAGGAGACTGGCCCATCGCTGGGTCTTTCTCGATCTCCGTCGCCATCGGGGCCGCCTCAAGGGGGATTCTCCTCTAACTACCGGGGCGGACATCTGCGTAAAAGTCCTTACGGTATCTTCCGGGGGCGTGGGGCCAACCGAGCCCCACTCAGACCCTAGACCGTCGAAGATAATTATTCCCCGGTGTCACCGTTGGGAAATCCGTCCGCGGAGCATCTCCGGGGCAGCTACGGCACGCCCCGACATCCGCAGACGGTGGACAAGCTCGTGGCTCGGGAATACTGGACGGGCGATCTCCCAGAGATTCCAAGCCCTGTCGGTCCTCGAGACGCGGCTCCGGCGAGGTTTCTATTACCGTCGAGCCGTCGGCCCTGTCCAGCGGGTTGGGGGCAGCTGGCGTTACCGCCGCTGCTCTTAACCTACCCACCGTTCAGACGAGCTACGGGAGTCTCTGCACGGGAATACTCCGGTGCGATCTCGACACGGGAAGGCGAGGCAGTCTCGCCCCAGCCCTCGACCGTGTTGCCGGCGCTGTCGTGGCCGGCACCGTCGGGTTTCCCCCTGTCCTTTGATCCGTTACCGGTACTGTACGGGTGAGAGACGGTGATTAGGACCTGTCGATCAAGAAGTCAGTGGGGATGGAATACGGTTAGTCGCGTCAGGAAGCAGGGATCGCAACCGCATGGAAATTAGCGCCCGGCTCACATGGCCAAGCGAAAAACCGCCATGCTGCCCGACCGGGGCACCGGCGCTTGCCCATGACGGAGAGGGTCCGCGCAGTGAGGTCGTCGGCAGCCAAGCGGTGGCTAGTACCGATACGGAATGTTCGCGCCAAGGATGGCCGTGGTGGGAAGACTTGAAGTGGAAATGCAGTCTCCGGGACGGACGGCACGAGGACGTGCCGTCATTTAAGAAGGGGGGTTTGTGGTACAATTGCCAAGTGGCGCTACTGCACTAGGCGGGCGCCAGAGGCCTCGCCAAGTACAGTAGTAAGATGTTAACCGATACGGTGCATACGTGGCCAGCACGTGTAGATGTGGCCACGTGGGAGTCCACGTGTAGTTAGTGGTACCAGCTAGTGCAGGTGTACACGTGGTGCGCGACCGATCGGTGGGTTAGTACAGTAGTCATTTTTAGTTACCGTAAGCTACAGTAAGCTGGCTACAGTATGTACAGCTACTGTAGTCCGTCCGGTGCCACCGCCCTACTAGGGGGTATAAGATATGGGGGCACCGGGCTGGAGGTAAACCGAGGCAAGCACGCCTCCCCTTACTTCCTACCCTAGTCCTTTACCGTACGGTTAAGTAAGTCCCTCAGGTTTCCAGCTCGCCACCGGTCGTACTGCTCTACACCCCAGTACGACTGCGCGTGTCCAGTGCGGTGTACCTCCCTTGTCCTGTGCTTCCTACCGTTCCGGATTATTCTACCTGACGCTCCAGTGTAGCGGTCCCCCAAGCTCCCTCATTTTAGGTACAGCCTGTCCTTTTCCGTTTACGGTTTAGCGTCCCTACGGTTGTACCACAAGACCCCTCTGGCCTCGCTCGGTCCCTTTCCGTGACGGTTAGAGGCGTACGAGTGCGCCGCCGGCAACTTCGCCGACAACCCCGATTTGGAAACTGTAAAAAACCACTAGAAACCAATAAAAACTGATCTCGTTTCCAAATCGGTTGACACCTCGCCATGACCGCTTTTTCGGAGTGGATACCCCCGGGTCCGGCTTGACGCGGTGAGCACGATGCCGTTCTCGGAAGTGGGCTACGATTTTTATTGAGCCCACTAGGGGTCAAAACGTAGCCCAAAGTCGACCGAAATTGGCGGCTGGTCCGCCGGGGTCGGCATTGACCGTTTTTCGGACCTTATACCGTCCGAAGCGGCTTGACGCGGGGAGTACGATGCCGTTGTCGGCGGTGGGCTACGATTTTTATTGAGCCCGCTAGGGGCTCAAACGTAGCCCCAACTTCGACGTAATTGCCGAACCGAACGGTGTCACCCCTCACAATTTGGTCCCTGGATTTTTGCCGCAGGCCACTGCACCAGTGCCGGAATGACACTTGGCAATTTTTGCCACGTGTCGGGGGTTGCGCCGCCGCTGCAAGTATCCGAGACGGTATTTATCTTGGGCACCGCGGGCGTGCCGTACCTCCCCATCGTCGACCATGGTCGACCTCGGGGGACACCTAGTGACCTAGGCGATCCCCCTGAGGTCCCTGGACTTCACCGTTTCGGATTACACGCCTTATAGGCGGCGTGTACAGTATTTGACACACGGCAGCTCCCCGAAGGGCTGGCCAATTTTGTAACTCAGGCCCTTAGTTCGGGGGGGTTACGAAGTCGACCGCCCGCCGTAGTTTAGAGGGTGCAAAACCCATCGTCGTGCGTATAGTTCCGAGCGGTAGTGACGGTCCCGTAGGCGGCTTCCGCCCCCCGCATGCTCTACAAGCGGGTGGTCTCAACCGGTACAGTATCCGGGAGACCCCCCTTCTTAGCTTGCGCCACCGAGCGGAACTAAGCTCGGTGGGCTCGCCAATACCGATCGATAAAGGCTTGTGGTAGGCCCTCCGCGGGTTCGAATGTATCATCCGCGGGGGTGTAACCATACCACCTCACTTTGTATTCCAAGCCGGTAGGGGTGT